ACTATATACCTATATATATTCATCCATTCGGCTGCATATTCATTCATGTATGTATGCTAATATATATATATACATAGTATAGCTTAGCTCTATAGTGTCATCCCCATACATAGAGCTAACATCTTCTAAAATCTGCTTTTGCACCCTTGTAAATATTACAAGCTTGATAAATTGACGGTTTAGCACGCGGTTCAAGATTTCAGGTAGGCTCTTCTAAACATAAAAACCGGACCAATTAATTTCCCAGCCATAATAATGATCGGCATATGCGTTTATGAATGAGTAACAGGATTCATTAACTTGATGTGACCCTTTGTGACCTTTTCGCCAGTTCCTGCTAGCGTCCTTTTTGATAGATTGTCATAACTGAAAGATCAAAAAGAATTTTTTTAATTTCATTTTCTTCCATTCACAAACAACGTACTTCAAACTGCTATGATCGCTGTTCAATCAATGATCTTCCGCATACTGTGAAATGGTACTTGTTACTGTTTTGACAAATGCTTCAGCAGGCTTTAATATTTCGTCTCGGTCTTCCGAATAACTTTCGATCACTAGTTTTGCCACTTTTCTTCATGAAATTCGATGGTAACGTTCGAAATCTAATACCCAACGATGGTACGCCTTAAAACCAATAATATTTGAATCATGAGCTTTTTTGAGAGTCAAGGCTTAAAAATTGAAATTGTGTAAAGGTAAACAATATTCTCGAGCCCGAATGAATTCCGCCGAAACAAAGTCATTGACGCATTGGAGTTTTTATGCTTTTGTACCTTGAGGCTTAGCATATTGCTTTATTCGGCACAACTGTTCCTTGTGTTTTTTTGGTCTATATCGCCCTCGTAATGTAGAAAAAGTGTGGGTTTTTGTAATATCCGACAACAGCACACATTGCATCAAAAGAATATTTTATATCATCAACGTTCAAAGCAATATCATTCTTATCTTCCTCTTGATAATCAACACTGCAATTGTCATATTCATCAAAATCCAATGTTACAATATGATCGACTAGTAGTTCTGTTGAAGTCAACAGATAGTTAAACAAGAGAAACAACTAATCCGTCAGCTCATAATCTTTTCACGATGGTTCATTTTGAGTGAGTTTTGGATATTTCTGATACACTAGATTGTTAAACTTGGAAAGAATATTGCTAAAATTGATCATATTTATCCTGAAAACACCGTAATATGCTACGTTAATGATCGTTTAAGTTATCGCATGCTGCACTTGGACCAAAACATGTCTATTTATAGGACGAACGAATACATGAATACAAAAGAAATAGATACAAGGGTCACTCCAAAAGTTTTTTTCGCCAGCCGTTTAGACAAATAATCAAAGCCGGGTTCTAGTGTATTTTTTTCAAAGTACTCTCCCCTAGCTTCAATGCACTTGTGCATTCGAATAAACCAGTCATCATAGTAGTTTTTGAAATCGTCCTTTGTCAAGGTATTGATGACTTGTTCTAATGCATCCAACATTGCAGTGTCATCGTCGAATTAAATTCCATGTAGTCGATTTTTAAGTTTTGGAAACAAGAAGAAGTCACAGCGACTTAGATCTAGAGAATATGATAAATTTGAATAAGATTCTACATGATTTTCTGCAAAATATTCGCTAGTAACCTAGGCTCTGTGTGGCCTTGCTTTATTATCATGAAAAGTGAGACCTCGAAGATCTGTTCTCGTTCTTCATTGAGATACATTTTTGAAGACTTGTGGCAGGTATATATTAACATACCAGCTTGCATTGATCGCCTCACCAGATTCTAATAGTATCAACTTGATTAAACCAGATTTCATGAAAAAAATTGCCACCATTTGTTTGCCTGAACTTTTGCTACGATGAAATTTTGTTGGTCGTGGCTCAGTTGTTGATACCCAACCCTTGACTACTGTTTCGTTGCCCGAGAACAATGGTAGAAACATGATTCATCACCAGTAATAATGTCAAATACACGATGAGATCGACCCTCTTCTAAACGTTTGAGTGACTGGTGAAAAAATTGAATACGCAGCTGCTTTTGATCATCGGTCAGTTGATGAGGAGGTACCCATCGAGCACAAATTTTGCGTCGCTTCAAATAGTCATGAAGAATCGAATAGACCGCTGAAGAGCCAATGCCCAACATGTCTTCTATCTGCATCTGCTCATAAGTTGAATGAGGATCATTTTTTACTATTGCTTGAACAGTATCAATTGTTTGTTGGCTGACAGCAGTTCGAGGACGACCTGAAGGAGCAGCATCTTCAACATTGAAATTGGCCCGTTGAAATTCATGAAATCCATTGACTACTGTACGTTCTGAAAGTGTTTGATTCCCCAAGTTTGCACCAAACGAGCATGGTAGTCCTTGTATGTTCATATATGTCAAACTTGAAACTTGAATTCAAGTATTCAATTATTCAACTGCGCTCCAGGGAACACACATCACGATCTCAGGTGTAGGTGTGGCGAAGGAACTGGTTCAAAAAGCGACTCACACATGTAGACACAAACACATCACGATCTCAGGTGTGGGTGTGGCGAAGAGACTGGCCGAAAAGCAATAATGTAATGATTGAATACTAGAAACAACTTTTCAATAATTGAATTCAAGTTTCAAGTTTAACACTACTGTATTATGACAGAGTTATTACATTCAATTGAAGATGTTTAGGGGAGACGGGTGAAAAAAACTTTTCGCGTAACCTATGCATCAAGAAAACAAAGGGGTAGTGATTATATAGACCTGGAGAAGAAAGAATGAATATACAGAGATGCAGAATACTTATAGTTAGTGCACGAGCTCTAGGGTGATGTAATGTAAACACAGAGAATGTAGAATTCGAACAAGATACATAATAATTAGAGAGAAAGTGCACTACAGTTTTAAAAGTTCTTACGAAAAAAACATATACACCGAAGCATATGTGTTAATTTTTTGGAAAATGTTTCGCCTATATTTTTATGCTAATGCTGTCTAAGCACCTAATTGTTTCCGAGTGTGAGTGTGGGTGCGAGTGTGGATGGGTGAAGTATATTTGGGCGTGGTTGTGGGTGTATGAATGCCTGCGTATGAGCGTTTTTTTCTTATTCGATGAAAGCATAAGCGATGTCACACATCAACATCCACAGCCGAGAAAATCTTTGCCTTTTAGGATACGGCACGAAAATAGGGGCAGCCCTTCTCTGACGACAATCTCTGACCCGCGCTCACAATTCATGACTGCACGTCCGCACACCAACTCGACACATCCACAGACAATATCGTTCGTCGTACTAATACCCACACATGACAACATCGGAATCCACCCACCGGCAAACTTAAATAGCACCTCAGCACATTCCAAGTTGAAGTACAACACGCACAGCTCACAGCTACACCCTCTAGCGACACCAATACATGCAAACTCTAAATCAACACAACCACACCTATATTAAACGTCATATGCGGTCACAGTCACACTATACGCTTACAAACGTACACAGCGCCTTAACATGACCACACCGAACATTATACGCTGCGATCCAGCATCCATATTCACGGTCATACCCAAATGGACCCAGCAAGACATTGAAACACTGCAATAAAAAGCGCATACTTGACACCTCTATACTCACACATCCACAATTGTGTACCTTTTGTTATCAAACTTGACGAGATTCTATGCAACCAATTTTCAACGTTGTGAAAAGTTTACTATTTTTATGCGAAGGACAAATTTCTTCTCTTATTTCATCAATTAGTTGATCATATCGGAGGCCATAGTTAAAGACCGGTATTAGACCAATCGATATGTATTTGTATTGCAACGTTTTTTTACTGATTCTGATATTATTCGTAGAGGCACATACGAGTTACATAAAGCAAAATCATAAATATATCAGAGTATCTCTCTAACAAAAAGAAATGAAATCCGAAAACCTTGAAACAGCGGTTATACGAATGTTTTTTTATGGTATTTCGTTGCTGCAATTTGCTAAACAATTAAGAAACATGGTTAGCCAATGTATGGTTAGACGACGGCAAAATTCATATAAAGGAAGAGGTGAAATTGGTATTAAAACACCTCCTGACAGATCTACAATTGTCCGACCAAAAGACCTTAAACGAAAGGTGAAAAGTGATTGATTTACGAGGGTCGCTGCAGTGCAATGCAATTAACTAAACCATTGGTTGGGTGCCAATGTGATTATGCGTGTAGATATATGATCTTGATATGGCAGCTGATGTTTCTACAGGCAAGATCCACACCGAAATTCGCACACGACATCCATAGGAAAGAAAGAACTTTCATATGATATATCATTCAAATTTAGACAGTTGAAAACTTCAATAAAACTATTCATAGAAACATCACATCGTGTTAGCCTATGGGTGATGGATAGTATCGAGTTTTAATCAGTCGCACGCAGCCGGAGTTATGTCTTACTGCCTAATTCGAACCACAATTGACTTCGGAAATCCGAATCGCTTGTTACGAAAAATAAGATATTCAGTTTCCATAGGAGGCCTATCTCATAGCTTAACAGTCTTCCATTTCAAGAAATATGCTTTCGAATGAAGTCGAATAGAATCAATAAGTACGGAAAGCTTTTTTCAATCGAAATCAACTAGTGCACAATAAAGTTTTTCCTCTTATTTAACTCAAATGAATACACAGATCTGTTCAGAATTTCCCAAGTAAATCCGATGTAACTGATAAATACAAAAAATAATTTTCTTTCAATCAATTCAACCTAGTTCATGAATACAATTCTTTCAATTTACTTCGCCGTTTGCCAGATTTAGTCAGCGAGCTTCTCTATGAAAACGTCGGTAATGGTACACAATAGGAATGATCAAATTGCATTTTAAAAGAATGTAAATTTAATTTTAATTTTAATTGACAAGAATTTAAATTTGAAATAAACTAAGACGAAAATGCTACCACTACTTGGTAACAATCTTTTATGCCTTCAATACAGCTTCTCGTAAGGCGAGTGCTTCTTCAATCGCTATAGTAAGTGTTTCGTTTAAGTACGAAATCGGTAAATTATAATGATTCGGATCATCTAGACGAAGACTGATAGCACCGAGTGGAAACGGTATTAAATGGACGTTCGAGAGTGTCTGTATGTGTTGGAACTCATAGAATCCAGAGCAGGATGAGAACAGTGCATCTTGGGCCTGTCCATCTACGCCAGGACGAAGCTCTCGAGCATTGACTGGTAGCGGCATACGGTTGCATCGTGGCATGCCAATAACGATAGTATCATCAGGTAAAAGACTCGACATGTATAAGCCCGATCCTGCGCTGGAAAAATAGATATCTGTTTTAGCAAGTGTTCGAACTTGGTCTGGGATAGAAGTTGTATCCAAGTGAAGCATGTTTACTTCAATTCTGACATTTTTGTATGAAGAGAAGTTCTGTTTAATAAAGGCCTCGACTTGTTCTCGATTGTCCATGACTCCTCCATGCCTACCAGCACGCTTGATTTGTAGTGTTAAACGAAGCGATCCATGCTTTGGGCGAGCAGTGCTAAGACCAAGTCTAGAATATATGACATTACGAACAGTTCTGTGCCCAATACCTGGCGTCATTGTTTGATGGAGGATGAAAGGGTTAAACGGCTCATAACCACTCACTCCGTGAGAGAAACACAATGGTTTTTCGTCTTGTACGTAGTGTCGCTTGCTAAGATAGATTGGATGTCTTCGAGATAAAAGAGTGAGAAATCCATCTACGAAATGGTGACAATTACGGAGAGGATAATCCCAGAGGATGTCCCAATCATTTGGCTCATCGCAATGGTTAAGAACTAGAAGTCGAAATGGACGACTCTTGGAAGAAAAATCATGACCAAAATAGGAGGCAAGTCCAAACGCGGGAGCCAAGGTTTCCCACAGCAGGTGTCCAGCATTGCCTGCGGCATACAAGCTGATAGGGATTAGGAGCTCATCACGATAGTTGGCCTTGAACTGGCATTGTGAAAAAGATACAATATCCGGCTGAAATGAAAAATTTCTTCCACTGTCACGACCAGGGCGTGCCAATACCCCGATTGAATGACGAGAGCCATCCAAAAATTTGGATCGTTCGTATGTGAAAGAGCGAATGTTGGATCGATTGTTCACTTCTTTTAAAGGAGCTAGTGGTGGCCATTGAATACCAAGCCATGGTCGTACATTGATGTCGTCTTGCAAAGTAAGAAAAACACTGCTACCTCTTAGGCATATATTCGAAAATTTACATGAAGGGCCAATAGCAGAAGTCTCCGCTAATGCTCCTGAACAACGTACTGAGGATAAGCGAATGTTCGATTCCGTAATTTCTTCCTCATTTACTGAGTGACGGTAGGTCGATTTGTTCACCGCATCCATTGGAATACCTATGTTCCATTTTCGGCAGCATTCAGCATTTGACATTTGTAACACGAATATCGATACAAGCATTAACAAAACAAGAAAGACGAAAAATTTCAATACTATTGTAAATCTGTTAGTCGTAGCTGATAGTGATCGTATTAACAGAGCCCAACTATGCTGTATTACATGTATTATTTGATAAATCATTCTGAACGCTAATATTAGCTGCAAGTATAAAAGAGTAATCACACAGAAGATAGTTATATGGATAAAATTCAGATAACCGAATCAAGTGGTAGACAGATATAACTCAAAAACATATATGCTCGAAAAAAATTGGATTGAATGCCTGTCAGGGATGCTGAAGCACGACCATATTCTCATTTCAAGAAGGGCCGATCCCATGACTCTCTGAAGAGCTGCACCACAGAACCAAATATAGCTTCAAGCAACACTATTCTCCATACGTTCTGAGTGTGAGTGTGGATGAAGTGTGGCTGTGGATGTGGATTTGGATTTGGATGTCGGTGTAAGTGTGGTGTTTGTACATGTTAGTGTGAATGTGGATGCTGACTGTTGGCCTTTTGTATGAATGTAGTCTGAGTGCTGATGTACGTACTGTTGTACATGTCCGTGTCGAATGTTGACGTGAGGTTTATGTGGAATGTGTCAATGCATTTGTTGATGATTGGTGTTGGTGCTCGTTGTGCATTGGTGTGTACCATAAATACAGGTGCTTGTGCTTATCTAGGTTCGGCAGTGAATAAGTCTGAATGTATATGTGAGCCTAGGCATGAGAGTGGGTAATCGTTTGGATCTTGCTATAGGTGGGAGTGAAGGTTGGTGCAGTCGTGAATTCAGGTGCGTATGTGACTGCGGGTGTTCATGCTGAGTTAAGGTATAGGTATTGTTGTGAATTAGTATGAGTATACTTGGTAGCTGTTGACGCGATAGAGATGTGGTTCTGGTGCCGGTGTGTATAAGTGCTTACGTCTGTAAGGGTATCGATGCCATGTGAGGGCTGATGTCTTGGGACCTGATACACTGAAAAAAGGTATATTACCGAAATTTTGAGGTTTCGCAGTTAATGCAATTTCGTGAAAACAATACACAGATTTTTTATAGTCGAAAAAGTTCCGTACAAAATCTTTTAGAATGTTGCAGTCAAGAGGTTTCATATGAAACCAATGTTTTTTCTTATACGATCGTTAACAACAACACGGGTTCACCAATCAGACAGCAGACTGGCCTGATAACATTGCTTCGTTTATTCATTTACATTGACACTACAATCGATTCTGAATATTAAATAACAGCTTTCAGATTTCATGCTCCACAAATGAGGACTTTACTGTTAGGTATAGAAATAAGGTGTTATGGATAGATAAAGAGATTAGCATAAACAAATAATTTGTTACGGATAGCAATAAGGGCTTAGACTTATGAATAAAGGGTCAAAGATAAAAAATGGTTCAGATATAGCAATAAGGCTTAAGATTTAGGAATAAGCTGTTAATGATTGATACACGGGTTCAGATATAGATATAAGATGTTACGAATAGATTAAAGGATTTAGAGTCAGGAATCAGAGGTAACGGATAGATATAAGATGTCGAATATAAATTTAAAGGACTAAGAATATATATATGCTATATAGAAGCAATTAAGGATAGATATGGGAAGTTAAATATAGAAATAAGGGATTGCGGATAGGTATAAGGGATTAGAAATAGGTTTGCCAAAATGAGAAACATATTGCTGTGAATGGTCGGCGTGAATACGAAATAGTTAGCAATAGATAGACAGATTTACAGGTACGCATCGAATGGTCCGAGAAAAGTAGAAGTAGAATAAATAGGTGTTTTAGTATAGATGCTTAACGAAATCGTGTTGTCTGGAGCACAGTAGAAAAACTGATACACCAAAGCCTTTTTTCTGTGTACGGTTGTGAAGATGGATGCGAATGTGCTCAAGTCTTCAGTTGGCTTATACTCACATTCAAGAAAGACAAAGGAAAAAGGCAATCAATGATATAAATCTGTCATGACGCAGGTGCCATTTCTCAATAGACTCTGTGGAACAGACTGAGAATCGTCACTATTTCTTTGCATTCGAAGAGAATCAAATGATGTTTCGGCTACGTGTGTAGAATCGAACGAAGGTTAGGGCGCCCGATAGAGTTTAAGAAACCTAGAAGGCATTTAATGTAAGCCTATACCAACGTGGCTCAATCAATCTCACCGATGTGGCTTATATTTTCACGCACTGCAAAAAAGGTACTTAACAAAGGTTACTAGATTTCATGTTACTTCATCATACCTTATAAGATATCGTACAAAGGAACAAAACTTTCTAAAGGCTTCGAAATGTACCAGATTTTTTGTAGATCCCATAGCATTTTTCTAAGTAGACAGCACTTCGTAGTTTACCTTCTAATGATATCATAGTCAAGGCGTTTCGCACCAGACTTAATTTTTTCTTGTCTTGTCTATGGTACGAACAGGTGTTCACCAATCTGAAACTCAAATGAACTCACCTTGTTCTTCTGTTTAGCTATTAACATTCACTCTAAAATCAATTTTGAGAATTGAAGTACTAGTTTGAGAGTTGAAACGCTCCTATACGAAGTTTATAGCTAGCCATACAGAAATCGCGTTACTTTGTGCAACAATCACATCTTCTTCTTCGCTGAATCCTTTACAGCTTTTGCGTTTTGCCAAAAGAAACAGCCTTCGAGATAACAACTTTTACCGTAAATTAATTAACATCCATTTTTAGTAGCTGCACTTAATGACTGATTTAAATAAAAACAAATAGCGACAGGCATTACTTGCTTTGATAGTACGAACGGTTCATGGGTCAAAAATTGTTCATGTGCCCCTCTTCAACCATTTGATTTTGGATCCTACGCATTCAAATTCCGTTAAATACGTTTTGACTATTGTGGAGAAGTTTCGATAGAATTTTTTAGCCGTGTGTCATCTGATTTTCGACTGGTATGCATCAAACGAAGATCAAGCGTAGGTCGTTTCGTTTTATTATATTATTCGTGGGTCTTCATTCTACAGCTTGTACTTTTTCGTTCGAAAAAGCATATCACAATGCGACAACTGTTAAAGAGCTCTTGTCAGTTTCTTTTTATTTCTCAGAAGCCATGAAACCACAAATTCGATATTGAACCAATCTCTACAAATTTGGAATTCATGAAATCATTTTTGGAGCATCGAATTTCTGATTGTGTGCCTTCTGGAAAAGAAAAAGAACCTGGAAATAGTGCTTCGGCAGACGTTGCATTCTGACGTGCTCTTTCAAACGAAAAAGTACAATATGCAGAGTAGAGATCCAGGAATAATATTTGCAGACGAAACGAGCTATCTCTAATCTTTGTTTGATGCATATCTGCCGAAAATTTCATCCCTTCCGACTCAAAAATTTAAACAAAGCCTTTGTTCAACAACCTAAATATATTCTAGAAATGTCACGTGCTTTGCATGTTCATTACCCAAAATAAATAATCAGGGAACGGAGCCTTAATATTAAGTCTAAATTATTCCTGTTAACACATTGTTTACCTTTCAGTCAAAAGTATAACTGGTTGTGATGAGGATAATGGTGCTTCATTGAACTTTTCCTTAAGTTGGAGAAAGTCTATTTTCTGAAAATAATGATATTCATATACAACTTTACTGAACAGTGTGAGGATTAAGGAGATTCGATTCTCTAAACCGTTTTCAAAATCTCGGAGCTACATTTTGAGAATCTTGACAGCCCAAATTTTGATGCACTCAGTAAGTTAATACCAAAGTTTTATGTTCAAAAAATAAGATCTTCCTTGAGCGAGAAAACTTGATTGAAACAGTATTACGTTAACCCAATTTTCTTTTTTATTTAATTTATGTAAATAAAAGTGCAACAGAAAAATAACTCAAACTTGTTATCCTATCAACAGTACAGGGATCCACTGCCCGCTCATATTAACGAACAACGTGATACTATTCATGTAGCTTTTATGTATCATAATAATTTAAAGATCGACTATTGCTCAAATTTAGGACTCCTATAAATGATTTCTATCTTTCGAAGTAGTCTTGCTCTTTTATACGAGACAAAGTATAGATCGAAGTAGATACACGTATTGATCCTACAAGGCTAAGGAGATAGATTGAGAGGATAGGTATCGTTTAAGGAAGTATATTGATAGCGCTGATATAAGCTACAGGAGTATCTCAAGGTAT